AGGCAATGTTTATATCAGTGGTTAAAGACCCGGCTGTAATGCACGAGGGCGCGGGTTCGATCCTGGCAAGTACCAATGTAATTTTTCCGAGTCATATGTACTTTCTAAGAGTATTTAAGACACCACTGACAGACGGTGAAGGAAGACATCGTGAGGAAACCTGGACTTATAATTTCACAATTATAATTTTACAATCCCCAACGCGTCTTGAGCAAGCGTGGTGATTAATGCTCAAACCTTCTTCATGCGAGAAAGAGGACTTTGCTCAGCAGTGGGATCTGATAGGCTGATGACGCAATGTTTTTGTTTTGTTTACAAAACAAAGAACATTATTGTTATTATTAAAAAGATGTCTCTTAATGTGTCTGCACTTTCTTCTGTCTGATAGGATTCAAGTTATTGCCTTGTTTGACATTTCAATACGAGTTATAAGTAATATTATCTGTCATTTCAGTTACGTCAAGCCCCGCCCTTTGCTTGGTAACAGATAATAAATATAATGCATAAGAATTATTGATTAATAGTTGTGTCCCGCGACTTCGTCTGCTTTAATTTCGGCATTAGTAATATATGTATAGCTGACCGGACGATCTTTATTTCACCATAGAGGCTGTAAATAACTAGATATTGGAATTTATTAAGTAATTTTTTCTTTTTATTTTCATCGAACAGCATTAAATATCCTATGTCCCTCACCTGGTTCTAAGCTATCTCCCCACTGTTATTCAACCATATACCAACAGCCGTTCTTCAGTTATAAATAGTGTAAATAACACAACTTTCTTATATATATAAAGATTTTCAAAAGCAACGTCTGCATGTCTAATACGATTTGTGTTTGTTTTCGCAAATAGATAAAATGTTAATTTTGAATTAATTGAAAATAATCAGCAAATGTAAAAAGTTCAGATTTCATTTTAATATGAAACTATAAATATTTCTAATATTCTTATAAAATATGTAATCTTAATACAATGAGATAATTTCTGAAGGTACATTCCCGATAACTGGTTCTCCAGTCATGAATCATTTTGCGGTAGAGAAAATTAAAAATGTATTATTATTGAATTGCATATTAAGTTGTTTTAGATCGATTTTGACACTATTTTCACCTATAGATTTTATAAAAGATAAATAGAATAAAGTGACTCATATGAGAAAAAAAACTATGAAATACTTTTATTTTAGGTTCATATTCAGTGATACGAAGAATTAAAAAAAATCTTAAGTGAAAAATATTTAAATTTATTTCTTAATAACGTATACATTAAAAAAATTACAGTTTCTGACGAATTTTCATTTGATTTCCATATCAAAGATTTTGTTTGTATTTTGTTTTATAACACTACAAGTAATGATATTTAAGACTATCGCGAGTTTTATTCATTTAAATGAAACTAAAATTTTTCGCATATACTACGAGTGATTCAAGTAAATTTTTTAGTTAATATTACTGTTATATTATGTCTAATATAATAAATTATCTGCACAAAGTGTAACACTTTATTTTCTTAAACAATCTTAAAAATCAAAGTCTTTCGATCACAATACTAACATTATATTTATAATTTAAAGAATATTATGTATTTGACTCCTATAAGAATCAAAATAAAATACAAATAATTAAAATTTATTGTATATAAAAAGATTACATACATGTATTAAAAAACTTTTTTCAAAAGTAAATTTTTCGTTTTAGTTATGATTGTGATTTAGTCACGTAAAAGCACATTGCTTTTGCTCATACTTCGCCAGTGAAGAGAATATATATATATATATACTAGTTTTTGCCCCACGACTTCGTCCGCGTGAATTTCGTTATTAGTAATACATATAGGTATAGCTGACCGGGCAAACTATATTCCGTCTTCAATAACCCGGTATTGATATTTATTAAATTTCTACTGTTTCAATCGAACAGAATGATTGACATATTAGTTAGTTGTCAAGTTTAATGTCAAAAAATCGTTTGTATGGGAAATAAAAATGGGCGGTTTTTTAGGGTTTTCCCGGCAATTATTCCAATTTTTCTCACCTTTTAAACCTTCCCTGGACTTCCAGAAGTATTTCAAGACTAAAATTAACCAAATCGGTTCAGCTGTTCTCGAGTTTTAGCGAGACTAAGGAACAGCAATCCATTTTTATATATATAGAAGAAGATTTACATATAACAAAACATTAATATATTGTATAAACTGCAACAGGCTTGTTTTTTTTGTTTTCATTCTTATCTTTATAGTTCTGACGTACATCGTTTAAGTAAGTTAAAAGGTCAATGAATAACTCGGAGACATCGCAGAGAATGTATTGACTGATGATTCGCGGACACTTGAAGCAATTTTATTAATACAACCTTAAAAATTGATATTAACAGGTAAATATATGAATTACTGAATTAACAATATGTACGAAAGACCAACAAGGATATTTTAAACGAACACATTTCTTGAAGTTTTGTTCTTCTTTAAGAAGAATCCTTCTTCTAGTTTAAGAAGAATTTTTTTCCTATTAGTTTTAATTCCTCTTAGCTTACATTCCATGTATACATAGTATTACAAATTAATCAGAATAAAACATATCTTAATAAATTATATACAAGATATTTCATAAATTGTTCTACTTGGATGATTAAATAAAAACAAACTATGACTGACAATACGTAACAACATGTAATAGAACTAATATTTTTCGGAATTCTACGCGTTTTTTATTATTTTAAATAACATACTCTCTATATTTCAGTTACTTTTCAACAACCGTGATCTCGTCTGCCCGTGATTTAGCCGCGAAAGTTTTAGACATTACGTAAGAAGGTGTCATATTTACAAATTATATATGTATAAATTCTTTGTCAATACCTATCCTTTAGCTGGTAAAAATAATATCAAAATTATCATTTATTCTCTATAGAATATACAAGGAAATAGCTTCAAAAGATTTTGTTTGTATAGTAAAGTAAATAATTATTACGACAACAACCATGTTTCATAACTATGTCGTTGGAAAGGCAATTATTGTTATGATATAATCTTAACCTTAGGTCTGATATAATCTAATAAAGATCGTATCTGTAACCTCATTTACTTCCAATTATTTGATTAATAAGCTTCTGTGAATTAAGTGATAACGTCTCGGATGCGACTGACGTCTGTAATCACGAATATACGGATAATTGACTGCATGATCTACATTCTTACCATTCGTCTCCATTTTCACACTACACACGTACAATATAACGTTTCTCATGCTCACTCACTCAGGTTAATACTAATATAATTCAAGATTTATGAATGAAAACTGTTTGACGCTTCGTTCGTAGTGAAATCACAACTTAGGACACCGATAGTAAATGAGGTAGACATGAGGCAAAACATCCGTTCAAAATAATATCTCGTTTTGGTCAGTGTTGGGCAGAATGTTATCGGAAAATAAAACGGCGTAAGACTAACGGTCAATCATATTATACTTTGTTTTTAGTTGTAATATTAATCGTAAACATATTGTTAATGGAGTTATAAAAAATATATAAAGTTAATTGTTGGCAATCGTATGCTAAAGATTGGTTCTGGTAAAGACAGTATAGGTACTTAATAATACATATATACACGGCCATAAAAATTGTTAAAAGCTATAAAAACATTACTAATAGTTCAATGATTGTTATTTTAAAAAAATGATTTTGCTAGCGTCATTGTTTTGTAAACAACACAACTATTTAAAACAGCTTCATATCATTTTAAAAGTAACTTTCAAAATCGCACTGCTACCAATGGCAAGGTGTCCATTTGTATCGTGGCTCATCATCAATTGAACACAGAGCGGTAACACAAGATTTTCGTCAAAATCCGAAATAATTTATTGAGTAAACCTTTGATCTATAGGTTAAATTGCCTACTGATGTCTTCCGAAGGAAATACAGCATGATATTTTTCAAGAGAGGAGTTTAAAAGCACATGAAGGATCATAATATGTATAAGTACTTGACATTGCAGACGTTCACAGGTTTCGGTGACAGTTTAATATTAGACGGACCCATGTTTAAGAATAAGCCTAATTATGTTATATATAGATTATAGGACTTTTGAGACTAAAATAGATTTTTTCTGTATAGTTTACTACTCCTTTCCATAGATGGCGTTGTACAGTTCACAATCAACCTGGTGTTTATATTGTCTCTTTAATTATCCTCCTGCACATGTGGAATATTTATAAAATTATATACAAATGACTAATGCAATTTCGTATTATAAAATCCACAATTTTTCAAATTGCATAAAATTTTTACTCAAAATAGAAGATTTTTTAGTAATCTCACTTAATCATCTTTTTATATTTGGGAAAGCTGTGTGAAGACGGTTATTTATTTTATTGTGTTATATTAAAAGGAACTTTATCTTTTGTGAAGATCTCAGGAACAGTGCATTTCGCGTTTGTGTGTTCAAAGAGATAAGTGGGAAGTAACTAAAAAGAATGGTACATTTTTTATCAAATTTAATCATTACAAAGTTTTGCACTTTTAAATTAACCAATAAAATCATAAATATTCTTGGTTTACAACAAAACCCCATTAAAGAATGTGATGGAAATTATTTTCGTCAAACTTACAATTCAAAACTGATATAAATTTTTATTTAGTTTTGTTTTTATTTTATTTAAAACACTAATTTATTTGTGATATACGATATCACGAAATATTTTGCATTATAAATAAAAAAATAAAACAATTTCCAAAATGGAGATATTATAAAAAAGTTTTAATACCATATAAGCTATTTAAAACATTACAATTCGATTGCAAAGTATACAAAATATGTTTTATTGCACTTATCATTTACATACAAAGTCTTAATTACTACAATAAATATCTTTAATGATCTATAGGTAGTTCATTGTAGATTTTCATATTAATTGGCTGTTTTTGAACATTTGTAGTCAAATAAAAATTACATGTGCGCAATATTTAAACTTAATAAATTTTTGTCTTGAAATATATTCTAAGCTTATAACTTTCCAGATTCTATCAATTCTTTGATTCTATGTTTCTGTACTTTACCAGAAGCTGTTTTGGGAAAATTTTCCATGATTTTAAGAATTTTCGGTATTTTAAATGTTGCTAGTTTTCCAAAACAATGTTTCTTTAAATCTTCAAGGGTCATCTTGGCGTTATCGTGTAGCCGCACAACAGCGCATATTTCTTCGCCAAGTCTTTCATCTGTTACCCCAACAACCTGTAATATTATATAATAAAAAGATTATAAGGTGATATAATAAAACAAACATAAAATTTGCCAGAAATATCCAAACGCACATGAAATAAGTTTTTTGTTTTAATCATATGATATGTATTAACATTAATTAAATTATAAATTAGTAATATTTATATAAAATAACTATTTATTTTTGAAGTGAAACTTTTTATGCGACTTAACAAGGTTGCGTTAGAAGTTTTACGCTGAGGAAGAGAGAAAGAAAGATACACAAATGTAGAGAGTAGAAGAGAGAAGGAGTAAGTCGTAGATTCTGAGCTCAAGCGCATTATATCTTTGATATGCAGCAAAGTAACAGAAGAAACAGTATTGTTCTATATTTAAATAGCTATAATATCCATCATTATTTTAGTTTCATTTGATACACATTTTTTTTTGTTTGATGACGTAGTGGAAACTCTTTTTACGAGCCATCCAACCTGCCTTGGTGGGGCCGGAAGGGATGTGTGAGGCTCGGCCTGGGCAGGCCCCTACTCACTAAAACCACTGCGAAAGTCATCGGCCGCTATGTCAGTGTACCCCGGATCTGTCAGCGACAGGGCATACCAGCGACTGGCCGGTCCTGGCAAAGACCGGACTTACTCCCATTTGATACACATATAATCTAATAGTAGATAAGAAATGCGTACAAGCCATGAAGGTTTTTTTAGATACTCCACGCACTATTCTTTTTAATTTTAATATTATACATTACCTGACTCTCAATGACATTCGGATGCGTGTTCAAGCAATCTTCAACCTCTCTGGGAGCTATGTTTTCACCTCCTCGTATAATCACGTCTTTGCTACGACCAACTAATTTACCATAACCATCTCGTGTAAGGGTAAATGTGTCGCTGAAAAATGGTTAAAATACATATTTAAACAGTGTTTATACAGTGCCATGACAAAATAGTATATTTTTAGAAATATTGCGTTATGGTTTTATTACTAATATTATATAACTTTCTTAAATAATAATAAATAAAAGAAAGAGAATTAAGATGTTGGTTTTTGCTGTTTGGTAAGACAAAAATGTGACATTTGATTTATTTGTTGTATACGTATATGTACAGTGGCGGTGCAAGACCTAAATTTGATATGGGCAAGACAGATTTCGCGAGGCCCTATTCTATGGCAACTTGAAGCTCTTACTACCTGCTAGTTTTAAAAACTTAAACGTAGATACGTTTTTTACCCTTAAAGCTTTGGTTTCCTTCAAAAGATATTAGTAAGCGTATTTTGTATACAAGTTATTACTGCGTTACATACTTATTAACAATTAAATATTTCTTACTTTATGTAAAATAGACGAGTACGGGTCGGTACCCGTACACCGATGTGTAATTACAAATCACAAAGAAACCAAAAACAATTAAAAAACGTCATTGTTTTCGGGGGCAATCAATATACTTAAACACTATCTATTAATTCGCTAAATATTATTAAAACATTGAATACACTATTCTTATTAAAATAGGTTTAATTAAATCTGATTACCAAAGAGGGTTGATGTCAGGCAGGCGACCGGTCGTAAGAACAAATAGCCAAAACTAATTACAACATGTAAGGCAGACCCTGGTTATAGCTGGGAAATTGCCAGGAAGAAGAAGAAGAACAAGAATTATTTTTTTTATTCTCGCTTTAAATTTTTTTAAGGCGCGAGGCCCTTTGTACCGCGAGGCCGTAGGCGGTTGCCCACGTCGCCCACGCCTTACGCCGCCACTGTATATGTATTAAGAATTATATAACATTATTCTGATGTAATTCAATACCATCCATGAGCAGTGTAAGTACTGTCTTAGTTGTATTAATTTCAAAAGCTAATAAAACTAGTTAGAATATAAAAATCAATGACATTAACTGGCACATAAATAATAAAATAAATCGGAGATTTATTATAAATGAATTTAAATTAAGTGACAAATCTAAAATGGTGGGTTAAAAATAAGTAACCAGTTGAGGTAAACGTATGTCAGCGCCATCTATTACGCGTTAGTTGAACTATTAGAAAACTGCATTTGTAAGTCCGCTTAATATATTATCTTATAATCATTTTATGTATGTACATTGCTTTTTATTATGAAAATCTCTTACCCTGTATAAAGCCACCCATCTCTCAACGTTTCCTTGGTTTTAATTGGATCATTCAAATAGTTTATCATATTATTATAACCTCGTACTGCCAATTCTCCTTGACACCCAAATGGTACCATATTGCCAGAGGAATCTACAACCTTATAGACGGTAATAAAGTCTAATTTTAAAGTACATAAAGTGCTAAGTTTAAATGGTTACCTTAACTTCCACGTGGTCTGTGATATAACCGACTGTATTCATCACTAAGTCGTCTTCATCATCAGGCTTTGATTGAAATACAGTTGCTGTGCATTCAGTGAGGCCGTACAGGTTCTAATAAGCAAACATCAATTGTGCCATATAAAAGTAACAAGATAAATTGAACTAATATTTTTAGGATTATAATGCGCGTGTTTTATTATTGTAAAATCTATATACTCGCGACGTTTCAGTTACTTTTCAGCAACCGTAATCACGGACAGACAAGATGTTAAATTTCACAAAATATTAGTTTCATTTAAATGAATACTTAAAGCATTAGATTTCATTAAAGTAACGAGACATTTAATTAGTATATGAAATAGTATTAGGCAGGGATTTAAAACTATGTCGTTAGTTCAAATAATCCTTACTCTGACAACTTTGGCTTTAAATCTGTCATTTATTCGTCTAATTAGTTCTGGACTGCACGGCGCCCCAGCTACAAGTGCTGTGTTAAGTTTCAGTGATAAATCGTCCCTGTTCTTCATCATTGACAACATGTCGACGTACATAGTAGGCGTTCCCGTGATGGCAGTACAGCTAAAAATAAAATGCAGAAAAAAAATTTACATACAATATACAGTAGAGTCATGACTTTTTAAATATACAACTTGCAATTCTACAACAAATACCTGTTTTGATTGGGCTATAGTTATCAGACAGAATTTTATTCTCGTTTATATGATTGTACACAATATTGACTATTTCGCGACTATTGAATCATTCAAAGTTGTACACAATTTAGTAGAGGGATCAATGAACTAGCTATGAGATTGGAAAAATGCTTAAATAACAACAGAACCTACTTTAATTAAATAAATATATTATAGTATGAAAAATCGACTAAGTTACTCCCCTATCATACGCCAATTTCATATGTAAGTGCCTAATACATATTTTGTGTTGGTGTATAAACAAATAGCTACATGCAGACTTAGATGGATGAAACTAAATACGTAGTTCGTTTGATAATCAAAACAGGTCTTTTTATTTTATAATGCAAAAAAGAAAGGCAATGGTCTCAACATTTTCTCAAAGTCAAATCATTTCTTTTGCATTTAATTTAAATATAGGGTCTCTTTTAAAATTCTTGGACTTACTTTTCAGAACAGACTGCATGTAAACTAGCTGATGGGCTGTAAATAGGTGATGCTATAACTGCAGTCGCCCCGTGATGAAGAGGCATCATCAGTGTTATAATTGATCCCAGAGCGTGGAACAATGGCGTCTGTATAGAAAAAAGTTATTTACGGCTTATTATTCATTATAAGACAGTGAATTTACACTTCTATGTATAAAAACAATTACTTGAACGCATATTATTTGATGATCTTCGTTGAAATTGCTTCGTAATCCACTAAAATGTGTTGTATTTACAACACCTAAATGGGAGTCTTGAACTGCTTTCGGACTTCCTAAATATATAAAGAAGACACTTAGAGTATTCTTTATTATTAAATATTATTGCAGTAAATTAAATTTAATGATCAACATTTTTATATGGCTAACATATAATTTTATTCGGAAATATAAATCAATAGGTATAGTAAATGAAACTATGTAATATTTTTCGGATTATACAACGCGTATTGTATCATTGTAAAAACTACATATTCTTGATTTATTTACGGTTTTTACATGCGGTTACTTTTCAGCAACCGTGCTCACGGGCAAACGAGATGTGTGTGAGTATGTAGTTCTTACAATATCAAAGTACGCGTAGTATTATCCGATAAATTATTAGTTTCATTTAAATGAATACTCCTGAATGCCTTAGACTTCATCAATAGGTATAGTGTTGTGTGATTATATTTAACTAAAATATTCATACCAGTTGATCCAGATGTAAAATGGACTATACACACATCTTCTGGCTTAACTGTCCTTCCATATATTATTGGATTTCTATTTATATTTTCCTTTATAAGGTCGTCCATATTAAAAATACCACTGGAAAAGGTTAATTCAAGTACACGTTCTCAAATGTATCGGGTATAAAAAATAGTTATAATCTCAAAAGATAATTATGGTTTTATCTTAGTTTTGGTATGACTGTACGTAAAATTAACTCTTCTGTATTAAAGTTCTGAAGTATATACAATAACTTACTTCATCTTTTCCTTTCCAGCAGTTATGATTGATGATAAATTTGTAAATTGTCTCGTCGTAAAACTCCTAGCACTACACGAATTCAGTTCTGGCAACATGTCATACAGCGTCTTATTGTAATTTTTATTTCTAATAGTTTCTCCAATGAACAATCCCTTCAATTCGGTTTTATTGATGCAGTAACTTAATTCTGATTTTTCGTACATTGGGTTTATTAAAACCTGAAGTTAAATAAGAAGCTTTGAGAAATTTATCAACTGTAGACGAAACTAAGTAGTGTTTATATGTAAGTCTTTTAAACATATATGTAAGTGTGATAATTATGCTAAATATAATAGTAATGAAGTCAGTGGTGGCTCAGTGGTTAAAAGGCCCGCCTCTCGTCGCCGAAGGCGCGGGTTCGATCCTGGCCCGGGCAAGTACCAATGTGATTTCTCCGAATCATATGTACTTTCTAAGAGTATTTAAACATCACTGATTAATGTTGATTCCCAAAAGAGGGTTGATGTCAGGCAGGCGGCCGGTCGTAAAAACAAATAGCCAAAAACTTTTCACAACATGTAAGGCAGACCCTGGCTATAGCTGGGAAATTGCCAGGTAGAAGAAGAAGAAGATAATAGTAATGATGTATAGACCGGTATAATTCCTGCTTTTACAGCACCGATGACAGCTATAACCCATTGGGAACAGTTATGCGACCAAATTCCTAGCTTATCACCCGCCTCATAGCCCACAGCTTGCAGGCCGCATCCAAATGAGTCAGCCTGAAAATTATTGTAACACTACATTATATTTGTTTTCATACAACCAATATTTTAAGTATATTTTATGAGTTATGCTATCTCACTTTCACGGATATAAAATTCAATAAAACTATGAGTTTCAGATTTTGTTTTAATATTATATTATTTTAGATTTCATTCCATATTTCTATTACTTTCTAATAGTCTAAGAGCCCATCAGTCAGTGGTGGCCTATTGGTTAAAGGGCCCGCCTCTCATGCATGAGGGCACGGATTCGATCCTGGCCCGGGCAAGTACCAATGTGATTTTTCCAAGTTATATGAACTTTCTAAGAATATTTAGACATCACTGATTGATGGTTTCCTAAAGAGGGTTGATGTTAACAATTAGCCAAAACTACTCACAACATGTTAGGCAGATCCTGGCTAAAGTTGGGAAATTGCCAGTTAGAAGAAGTCTAAGAGCCCATGAGGGCCAGACCTTCCTATCGTTCGTAAGTATGAAACTTCTTCCATGTGTGTCACCAACACAGGTAAGAATGATCCCCACAAATGAAACCTGGGTCATGTTTCGTTTGTCAGGTAAAGGGTAACTAAGGTATACAATCTTTTACTGTGCATCAGCTGTCATATTCAGAAGTGTTGAATGCTTATACTAATAGTAAACTTTGCGTTATTTTAATACTTTATAAAATAAATGTGATTTAATAATAATAACGTGTAATCATAGGAGACGAAAACTAAACTCATAATCAGTTTGTTTACTCCGTGAGAAAAGTGGTGAAGATTTAATGAAACTTTCCATGGAAACTACCGAATGATGTCAACATCATCAGGTAGGCATGTAAAAATTGTTTTCTATTGCTTCACATTAATGTAACTAGCTAGTTTTTATTTGACTATTGTTTTTTTATACTATTTAACTAATTAGTTTCTTTTACTATTGTAGAAACAGACGGAGAAGAAAACTGTGATAACGATCTATTCTCGAACTGAAATTGCAAAGATGACGAATTTGAAGAATGAATATGAAGATATTGCCAACAATGATGAAAGTTATTCCACACTTAGTTGAAAAAAAATATTTTTTCTGTAGGTACATTTCGTATCTTCTAAAAAAATTATCTTTCGTATGATAAACAATTAAATTGTAATAACTTTGAAATTTAAATTAAATTAATAATCTTCATAACAATAAGAAGTAATTTGAATATGATTGATATTTTTATAAAATCTCTACTGATTATTATAAATTAGAAAATTCATTATTCAGACTATAATTATTTAATTTAATTTAATTTTCTGGATAAATTATAAAAAAATCACTAGACTGGTTACTCTGTCTCACTGGCACTTGTTTGACCTTTGTAATGTGTCTGAAAGGATTATAGCACCCAAAAAACAGTCTGGCTACTAAGAAAACTCAGTTTAATAATTCTCTGAATAACATATATAAAATCCAACTTTCGTAATATAAAGCAAGTATAATTAAAAACAATATAATAGTTTAGGAGAGGAGCATCGCGAGTTTTAATGCTGTTATGAATAAAATACAACAAAATTGTGTTCGGTGACTTAATAAATTGGTGATAACATTTTGTACACCTTAGTTACCTGTTACCTGTCAAACGAACCTGATCCAGGTTTAATTTCTGGATCGTCTGCTATGCAGACGACACGCTCGTTGTAGCCCGAGGTGATGACCTGTCAGAGGCGAAGGCGCGTGCCGAGGCTGGTGCTGCCTTAATCGTGCGGCGCATTGAAATGCTCGGGCTGAGGGTGGGTCTCGAGAAAACCGAGGCCCTCCTATTCCACGGCCCTCGAGCAAGACTTCCGACGGGCGCCAGCATTAACATCTGCGGCGTCCCCGTCGAGCTCAGTCCCCGGATGAAGTATCTGGGGCTGACTCTGGACGGAAAGTGGAACTTCCGGGAGCATTTTCGCGGGTTAGTCCCGAGACTCCTCGGGACGGCGAACGCTCTCGGAAGGCTCCTGCCGAATCTCGGTGGTCCGAGCGTGGCGTGTCGGCGCCTGTACACTGGCGTGCTGCGCTCAATGGCGCTGTACGGAGCTCCGGTGTGGGCCGGTGCCCTCACAAGGCCGAACGTGGCTGCGCTGCACAGAGTGCAGCGCGTCATGGCGGTGAGGGTGGTACGGGGATACCGCACCGTCTCCCATGAGGCGGCTTGCGTGCTGGCTGGGACGCCTCCGTGGGAACTGGATGCCCAGGTTCTGTCGGAGGTGTACCACCAGCGTGCGCGAGTTCGATCCCGGGGTCCGAGTCCGGACCGGGATCGGGTGGAGGGTTGGCGGCGCTCCTTGATCGCCTTACTGCTTCGCCGGTGGAAGCGGAAACTCTCTGAGCCAGTGGCCGGGTTGCGAACCGTGGAGGCTATTCGCCCGCTCCTTAAAGAGTGGGTGGACCGCCGACACGGTTCCTTGACCTTCCGGCTGGTGCAGATCCTCTCGGGGCATGGTTGCTTCGGGAGGTATCTGTGCCACATAGTCGGGAGAGAGCCGACTGCGGCGTGTCACCATTGCAGTTGCATGGATGACACGGCCGATCACACTTTGGCGGAGTGCCCTGCGTGGGCTGTAGAGCGTCGCCAGCTCACCACAGTAGTTGGCGCAGACCTATCGTTGCCGGCTGTGGTTCAGGCCATGGTCGGTAGCGAGAGGGCCTGGGAGGCGATGGTCAAGTTCTGCGAGCACGTGATGTCGCGGAAAGAGGCCGCAGAACGTGCACGGGAAGACGACCCCTCCTCGGCGCCCTTGCGTCGACGTAGACTGGGTCGAAGGCAGCGGGCATATGCCCGCGACCTGCCTCCCCAGTGAGGAGCCTCCGGGCGTCGGTGGGGAACCGGCGTCCGGGTAACATAGGCCTGAGTAAGAGCGGCGTGTTTGGCGTTCCCGGCACGCTGCTCTTGAGTCGGAGGGGTGGTGTGGTCTAGCCACCGATACCCCTGCCGATGGCGGAGTCCCTTTCGGGACTTGTGCGTAGTGAGCGGAAGCATGGCTCGCCGTTCCCGCTCACTAGCCTACGCACTGCGCAGAGAACGCCGAGGAGTTTAGTGGGTGGAAATCCCACACGCCCCCGCCGTGTTTCCCCCGCGGCGGGAAGTCTTTGAAAGATTCTCCTCGTTAAAAAAAAAAAAAAAAAAAAAAAAAAAAAGGTTTAATTTCTGGAGACAATTCTTACCTGTGTTGGGGACACATATGGAGGAAATTTCATACTTACGGACGATAGGAAGGTCTGGCCCTCATAGGCTCTTAGACTATATTCTATGTATAATAGCATTAAAAACAATCTTAATAAACATTAAGCGAGAATGTTCAGCGATATAAATATATGTATATATACTTTACAAACCTTTTTCATCAAATCTTCATATGTGAGTGTTACATCTTCATATATTGACTTAATCGCAATCTTCCCTGGGTTTCTGTTGGCCGTGTCAGTTAGACGGTCACCGAATGTGGCAGTTATCAAGGGTTCAGTGCCGGGATTCTTGAGATAACTTTCCTGAACCGTTGAGAATCGACGAGGTTCTCTGTAAAACGATTACAATATCTGTATATAACTAGATTATACACATTCGCGTATGTTTTGAAATTAATATATGTATATACTAGTTTTTGCCCGCGACTTCGTCCGCGTTAGTTTCGTCATTAGTAATACATATATGTATAGCCACTTCTTCCCCACCACACCTACCCCGCTCCCCCCACGCCCCGTTCGCCTGGCACCGCTGCCGGTATTTATCACCGAAACGGTATTTACTTCCGAAATTGCTATGACTCTGCATTTTAAATCTGTGATATCTTCGAAAATATTTATTTAATTTACATGCTGTAAAAAGCCATATTGATCTTTATTAAATGCACAATGTATTTAAGATACTTAATTGGATAAGGATTAATGCTGTATTGCTTAAAATGGCTTCGTAAATAAGCCATTATTTCTCGTACAAACTAAAGGATAAAAAATGGTTATTGTGGGTTATTCCTAAGAGATAAACATATACCATCACGGACTCTTTTGTAGACCTTTTTAAGTTGTACAATACTGTAGTACATTGTTTTGATCTATCTTGTAGGATTCAGTCAGCGTTTGCAATGTAAGCGCAAAAAATGTGTTTTTTTACGAAAGTTTCATTCAAATCCATACAGTAGTTTTTACGTGAAAGAGTAACAAACATACATACATCCATACATCCATACATCCATACATCCATACTTACAAACTTTCGCCTTTATAATAGTAGTAGGATATATTCAGTGATTAAAAAACCTGTTTAAGTATAAACCGACCTTCAATCATTCAGTAACCGTAGATAAAGTTTGTTGTTTATCGTAACGTTAATTAGGAAAATTTTTAATTATTCATTCATTATATAAGTTCCTCCAACTAGTTTTATATTTGAAGAGAAATTTCTGAGCTTATCCGAAGAATCAGAATGAAGAAAAGTAAAGAAAAACCTTATTATATGATTAATATCGCATAAAATATTTAATTTTTTATAACTTTTTATATAAATTACATATATACAAATATTTACAAATACTTTCAAATGTGTTATACAGGGTGACTGGTGAATTACTATCAATATTTAAGGAGAATACTCGGTACATGATTCTCATTCGAATTATGTAAAAAAAATAGGTACTTAATTTTTTACCAAATTTCCGTATAAATAAATAAAGCGTGGACACGTTCTAAGTGTTCCAAGTGTGGACGCGTGCGGCGGCGTGCTGATACAACACCACGCCGCGCACGCGTGTGTGTGTGTACCTAATCTGTAGGGTGTTCACACGATGCGTAATTAATTACATAACTTTTGGTTAACTTTACTTAGAAGTTTATTAATATTTATGTTATATTAATTTTTATTTCGTCATATACGATCGTCAAATATCACGTCCTAAAGTATCGATAGTAATTCACCAGTCACCCTGTATATTTATATCTTCATAGTAAATTTCGTTACAGTATTGTAAAGAAAACTTTTTTGATAAATAAATATTTAATTTTCACTCACAATCTCATTAAATTTAAATTTTAAATTATTTAAATTTACATTTAAGGAAAACAGTTACTGCAAAAGTTACGTTCGTATCAGGTCAAACAATAAAACGTTAAAGAAATATTAATTCCTTTTCAAAGTAATAAAAAAATGTAAAGTTAAAATTTTATTTATATTATTTCGATTTATAAAATTTTAAGAGTTTCTCAGTACATAATATATATTTTTCTGAAGTAGTTAATTAATATCCATATTAAAAAAATAAAGCAAAGAATTAGTTTTAACGATTATAACTATCAACAACTTCTGACCCTGAAATTAAAAAACAAGATGATTATAATTAAGTGAGTGCCTCTTTAAATTATGATTTACTGAGAAACTAAGGAGGCAGGTTCCAAAGAGGTCGGTTATAAAACTTTTTGATTTTATTTACATAAAAAAATAAACATGATACTCATAAATTCTTGATGCCTGCAAAGCGGCTTAAAAATATTATCTTTCACAATATTTGTTCCGTTTCGTTCCAGTTGATTTTTATAAGTAGGCATATTTCTCTAAATTATTGCAAGATCGTATTCATTTATTGAATTTCTACTGAACTTCAAATAAATACAATATATATATTTCACAGAAAATGTCAAAAGCTGTATAATTACAGTAGCAAGTGATAAAAGGAATGTAATCACAATTAAAATGTATCTTATTTCGCAAATTTTTTGTACTGAACATTAAAGGCCGATTTCACGCCGATCTTCTGTGAAAGGGTGGTACTTCCCCGGTCGAGCCAGCCCATGTTCGAGCTGTAGTTACATGACTACAGCTAGACTCTACCTCCTTTAAAATTTAATTTCTCATTCAAAAGAACTGACAATTTGGACGTACGCGGCCAACTTCAGAGCAACTTCAGAGACCACATACGTGTGGTTTCTGAAGTTGTTAGAATATTCCATTGAAAATAATATGGGAAACATCAAATATGTAAAATACGTCGAGCTTAAAAAACAAAGAATTTAAAAAATATTTGGTACAAGTCCATCTAGTGGCTTCACTTGAGAATATATTTAGTTGTATCTCATGAACGTCTTCGCATTATTAATTTAATATAGAGCCGTTTATTAGTAAAATAAATGATAAAATATTAAGCATTCTATTATTTTAATGCAAGTGTTGAACTTTTATGAATAATTTAAGTGTTTTTATAAATTTTAGTCCAATTATAACTATCATTTTTCCTTATATATTATCTTCATTTTAGTTTACGATTTTATTGGGAGGTGATTGGACATAAAAAAAATGCAAATCGTTGAGCCATAATTAAACAATATTTTTGTTTTTAAGGAAAAGATTTTTATAACATCATTTTATTTAAATGAAACTAATATTTTCGGATTAACTACGCGATTTTTATTTTTGATTATAAATTACATATTCCCATCGTTTCAATAAATTTAAAGCAACCGTGATCACGAGCAGACGAGATGTGAGTGTGTCATATAATAATCAAAATATAAATCGCGTAGTAAATCCGAAAATATTAGTTTCATTTAAATGAATACTCGCGAAAATCTTAGATCACATTAAGATTTTATTCATTTATAAAAAAATGTTATATAATACATTAATTTACATAGAATATGAATCATTAATCAGGTAGGCAGATAAAAAGTTTATTACTAATATTACGCATTTGATTGAAGGACTATCCGTAGACAAAGGTTCAGACAAAGATTCCTTTGTCTTTCCTCGTAGACAGAGCTAATTAACTCATTGTTTTTTCTGTCAACATCATCTAATTAAGAAATGTATCTTTGATCAATAAAATTATCAATGCGTCATTTACAAATACGTTTATAAATTAAACATAACAACTGATATTAATAACTATGTACAAATTTAAAAGTATACTTTTGGGATCAGGAACAAATTTTAATTGACCCTGACTGGGTCTAGCAAGCTTTTCTTTTATTTTTGATTCCCAATATTAAATAATTCACTATTATCAATTGTAATACTAATAAACTTATAATCTATAACAATTTTTTTTGTCAAATTGCGAAATAAACAAAAATTGGATATCCAGAATTAATATTAATCTGTTTGTATTTTAGTAAAGAATAGTCATTTTTATTGATATTATATTATAAACCAATATAATATTTAAGAACTACATATGTGAAAAATAATATATTTTAAAAGGAATACCTAGTAATTAGTTAAATAAGTTATATATTTACCTCACGTTTGTCCGTCATCACGGTGTATGCAAAGTAACCGAAACTTAAGTCCAAAAATATAAGTTTTATATAACTAACATATATCTAACGTAATTAAAAACTTGCATATTTTCAAAAGTTTCAATCTAAATGTGAATGAAGATTGTCACAGGTATGTCAATGTGGTCTGTCATAAGGATCTCAAAAGAAGAGGGTATTAAGAAAATAAAATCATGAATATACATTTAATAAGAATATTATTTTGATATCAAACATCATTATGCTTACCCCATGGCATTATAAAATTAACTATTATATATATTAAATATTTAATATTGATGTGTTAATATGCAATTATAAAATATGATTTGTATATGTTATAACTAAATGAATATTTAAAATATATTTACATTAACAGTACATACAAACTCACCTTAATTGATAAAATTTCAAGTCCTTAATAAAACGTGCGGCGATTTTATCAAACATGTTCTAGTCTTTCCTTCACTTTGTCACTATTATAACTGGCTACACACAGTGTATTGTTGTACACAGCGCTAAAACTTATCGTTTACACTTTATAACTGTCAGCTTATGAACCAATCTATACAAATACTGTATTTATTTCGAAACATTACAAGTTAACACAGAAAACATTTATTAATCATAACATATGTATATATATTTTACATTGGTTACTACTAAAGTTGAATCGGATTAATGCATAAACTTAATAATATTTACACTTATAAAATGACCTCGTTTTAATACATGTTATCTCCAAAGTAAAAGGACCTTTCAAACATTATATTGCATTAACACCAATCAGTTCCTAAAAGAATTTTTTTATTTATTTTTGCATCAAACCAAAGTAATTTTATTTTGCCTAAGTATGAGAATACTAATATAGCAAATGTTTGAACTAAAATTTACGTTTGAACCTTAAATGTTCCGAATTATAAATACATTATTAAATATTTTTATGACATTTTTCTTTAGAAGAATATTATATTTTTTAATTACAACTGATCAGTGCGTTTTAGGTCTGTAAAATTAGGGACTGTTGCATTATATAAGCAACGGATTCATTACACGTACTATCGAGTAATATTATTGAATATACAACATATGTATTTCGTATGTGCGCTAAACCATTCCTTAATATAAAATATTAATAGCTTTTTAATGTTTTTATTTAGACGTTGTGGTTTGTCTGAACGTTGAACAGAGTTCTTAAAAGTAGCATAAACTTTTCGTAGTTTATTTGATATGACTTCAGTCACACTAAAAATATTTATTGTAAGACAGTTTTATATATATTTTATTTGATTTTAATTACATAGCAGCCTTCGACATTTCGCTGCTTAGTTCTTAATACGAAATGGATAATTTTAATACGTTTAAGTTATAAAAATACTTTTTTAATGATAACTCATATAAATGAAACAAATTTTTTCTATTCTTTATTTCTTTTAATAATAGACAAAATCTCGTCTGCCCGTGATCACGGTTGCTGTAAAGTAGCCGAAACGTCGGGAGTATGTAGTTTATAGTCAGAAAAAAAAAGCATAGTAAATACGAAAATATTAGTTTCATTTAAATGAGAACTCGCGAAAATCTTAGATATCTTTATGATAACTCATATATTTTTTTCAAATATATAGATTTAATTGAATCAAGGTTAGTACAAACTTTGTTTTTTAAGTCATTGAGTATATTTTTTCATATTTTATATATGAAATTTGAAAAATATCTAACATAAAATATTTTTTTTTCTATAAAAGTTTTGTACTTCAACGTTTTTGTAAATTTAAAGCATATTCTTAAAGAAAAAAATCCGTATTACAATATTTTGAAATAATTAATTATTAACTATTTATAAGGTATATAGGTGAATCATTAATATAATTTACATTTCAATAGAAGAAAAATAGCTGTTCTAAATTATGTGAGAATCACAAAAAATACATATAATTGTCTGGTTTATCTTTAAAATTAAGAAAAAGAAATTTTTCGATGCGAATTTAATATTAAACAGATCAAAATTATTTATTAAATCGATATCATTTGTATCCAAAAATACATTAAATACAAATTACTCTAATAAGATTCACTTGTACGATTGTTTGTGTACGTTTAAAAATATATGACATAAACATTAATGATTGACTTTTGGCAAAGATATTATTATTATTTTTTTAATCATATAATACAAAAACATTCTAAAACAAAAATATTATCCAGATATTGGTTTCAATTACGAAGCATAACTGCATGGACCCTACTATAGAAATAATTAAATATTTTTTAATTCTTCCTTCCAATTGAGGCTTTAAAAACTTTACGAATAAAAAAAAAATATCAGTTTTTAAGAACATAAATATTTTCTCCAATAACACCTTTCGTCAACGATTGACAATCTAGAACTACTATAATAAGCAGCCTTCAGCTGACTTATTTTTCTAAGTTTATATGCATATATACTGTCAACTAATTTTATTGAAAAACAGTTTCTGGAAATATAGAATGGAATTTTGATATGAGAATCCACTTGCAGTCAATATTCCAGTTTATATTCGGATTAACACCATAAAAATATGTCACAAAGAAGCTTATATCCATATTGGGTCGACAAATAGCAATACCATAAAACCTCTAACAAAGTCTTTTCTTTTTAAATTAATTCTACTGCCACTATTCCTTTACACGCAAAATGTTGTCAGCTTCTACTTTATAAGTAAGGAAAATAAAGATTTTATTACAAGGTATATTGGTTTAATACATTTACTTGAATAAACTCGTTTGAGACTCATAATGTGACATTTTGAATTTTTTTACTTTCAAAGGATTCCAAGGTTTTTGATTAAGAGAATCTACTCCAATTAAGTGTGACATTCATTTATTATTATACATCTAAAACTTTATAATAAGAGATGTCATTCTCTTTCATTTTTTTTTAAATACTTACGCAAAATTACAATGAATTAATTGAAATATAACTGATAATTAAATCTTCGTAAGTTAAAAAAAGTTATTTGTTGCGATCCTACGAATAGAAATATTTAAATTTCGTTATTTTTGCAGCCTTATCTCTAATGTTTTATATAATTAATTTAATTAATCTATTTCAATTGTAACAGATAAAACAGAAACATAATAATCTCATTCATTCATGATAATTATAGTGAAATAAATTGGTAAGACCTGTATCAAAGTATCGAGGGCAGGTCGCCCTACGGAAGTAAGAACTCACGCGATGGCGACTACGGGTGACGAAACATGCAAATTTACAGACTAGCCCGCTTTGATCCTGAATTGAGGCCGGCAGGAAAATAATAATATATACCTAACTAACAACATTTCCACCACATAACCTATATATCTGTGACTCTTAAGATATCAGGAATGTAAAGGTATTGTAGATATGGCAATAAATATTGAGTAAAGCAGTTCAGTGTTATATTAGGAAATAAAATTATCTTTGTGAACTTTACATGAATGTTGTTAGGAAAAAATAAGTAACGGTATATAATTTTTGTGTTTAGTTTTCAAGAAAAACTTCGAAAAGCAGGGAGAAATCCAATATTCATAATAAAATTTGGAAAAAACGTCATACATCATCCTTTAAATGTAATAAAAAAAATGGGTCAATGTATGAGACATTTTGAGACATCGCCTTGCAGGTTTGTTTGTAAATCCAGCCGTTGCCGTCAGTTTTATTTACACGAATCATGCAAGAAGTCAGGCAGGCTACGCAACTGCCGCAGTCATGCTCCGCCCGCCCTACGATCTACATCGCTAGCCGGACCACTATGGTCACGCGAAACTATGCAGTGTTTAGTGATTTTGTAGTGTAAGAATGTCTCAGGCCCCGGGTGGCAAAAAGGGCGGGAAGGGGCCCCCAAAAAAGGTCCCGGAGGAGGATAAGACAGCGTCGAAAGCTGAGGAGAAAGATGAGACGTCTTCCAACAATGGAGATAAAAAGGAGGTTAAGGAAGGAAACGGGATGGGGGACGTGCCAAAGCCTCCGAGCGCTGGGATCAACATGCGGGAGGTTGCTGCGAAGATTCTGGTGCTGGCTCAGAAGTCTGAATGGCCGGCCGTGGAGCAAACTCTTAAAGCGTTGGAGAAGCTGGTGGCAGCGGGCGGGGAAGACACTGTATCTGTTCCCATGGCCGGCATCATTGATCCGGTAATATTAAAATTAAGGCGTCATCTTGTCCTATCTAGTCTGGTTATCTTTTAAAGAAAAAGTTACAAGCATTATACTCATGACTCTTTAAAGAACGAATAAATAATATAACAGAAACATGTTTTCTGAAAATAGCCCAGTATGCTATATTACTACTTTTTAAATTATTTTTTATAGAAAAGCTTGAGATACATCTGTTAAAGCTTTGCATATAATTGTGAAAATATTAGAAAAAAATATCACTTTTTCTTAGTCACGATTTTTTACAATTATATATTTATAAAACATAAATATAATAATTTCGTAATTTTTAATTTTTATAAGAAGACTGAACCATAATTTCAATTATTTTATACTTAGTTCGTTATATTACGGAGATAGCAGATAAAAACTCTATTCATTATGAATATTTTTTTTTGCTGCATTTTTTTTATTCAAATTTAATTTAAGTACTAGCTTAAATGATTTTAATGCCAAAAACGTAATTATAAAAATAATAATTGCACATGTAACTACCTACGTCTTGGTTTATTTGTTGTTTATTATGATCAACTATAAGCAAATTTTTTATTAGGCTAAAATATATATATTTATGAGATGATATACTTTATAATTTCGCTTAACTAATGCGAATCGAATCACTTATCAAGATAAATATAACGTCTGATAATACTAAAAGCTTTGATATCATCAAACAGATACAGAACTGAAAATAATAACATTTTTGAGGTTTCAAACATACAGAAAGAAAATATTAAAACTAGTGGTACAAATATTTTAGAGTAAATTTTCAATTCTAAAGTACATAAAGATATATAATATATGACCTATATTGTATATAATAAGTTTTTATATACTGAAATCTGTAAGAAAGGGCTGTAACAAAATAAATGGGTGATTAACGTTGCAAAATGCTAAGTATAGTTAGTTACTTTATAAATTATCGGTTGACCTTAGCCCACAACAATTATAAAATAACGTTTATAACAAGGTCAAAGTAATACATGACTGATTGCTTATAAGAATCTCTAACCTTATTAAGTAAAAAACACTAAATTTGTTGAACACAAAAAATGTTGAACTTTATTTGCAAAATTTGAAATTTTATTCACTTTTTGCAAAAATTCAATATAAATTTGAAATTTGTATTATCATTATATATGGAGAAGATGAATTGATATAAAATGATTAAGATTTTTTTTCTTGTTTCTGTTTCTAGAGGTATCGCAAGGATGACAAAGTTCTCATAAATATCAATTATCTATCTTAAGCATTTAAAATAATAGAATATAAGTATTTAATATTATTTTAAATATGTTTCATCTTAAATTACTCCTTCACCTCGTCATGCAAGTTTTTCGTTTTTATAATTATACATTTTATATATAGTAGTAGGGCGCTATTTTCATTATTTTATTTTTGATGACTCGTGGATAATGTTTCAATGAATAATCATGTAGGTATACATGATTTTCATGCCACAAATAAAATTCATAATAAAAGTAAATACTTTTATTCATATGTATATGCGGATTATGAAAGGAAATATGTTAATAAGATATTTTTTTTAAATAATAGTAAAATTTGATTTAGGAACTGTTTATTATAATATAATTTACAGTATTCTTATACTCTTAGTTTTTAATCTCCTGTTTTGTTACTAAGTTTTCTAATAATTATCAAAACGGACAATTTTTTTTAAATCCTCATTTACTTAAGTTAGTATAAAATATTTGACTAATTATGTACTAATCAATCATTTTGGAATATGGATATGTAAATGAATTTCAGAGTTTTTTAAATCAAAAGCTCAAATATGTCAATACTTCAAAAATTTAATTTCAAATTGGACACAAGTTTATTTCTTTATTTATCATCTTGGTTTAATAAGTGTTAATGTCAGAATTATTAAATTTCTGGGAAGCAGTAGTTCATTAACTATTGATTAGAATATTTTTTACGTCTACTTAAAAACGCAATCGTTCCAAAAATTCTTAAATCTCAGTAGGGTTACTGTATGTTCGATAGCCTGGCAACGATCGCGTGCAAGTCGACACATCTTCCAAAACTTTTTACTGTTCAGCTAGATCGATGACGACTATTGCCATGTATGATTTGTTTTGACAATAATTTTTTACGAAATTTTTTATATCAAAATCTATTTTACATATTATTATACACAACTGACAGTACACATTCTATTTTATTTATATTTTTAAATTGGTTAGCAGTCAGCGAATATATGTAAAAAGATTCTTGATTTTATTTATATACATCTAAAATATTTAAAATACAAAGTTAAAATAAGAAATCTCTGAAGATAAAACGTGTTCAGATTCAATCAGTGCAAGTGAAGAGGAAGGTTTACTTTTGTTTGAGGTTGGCTTTCTTATCGTTTATTTGGATATACCCCTGAAATTAAATACACCTATTCAATATCCTATACAAAATGTCACATATCTGTTCCAAAGTCCTTGTCAGCGTCTGTTATCTGGTAGGATACGCTGGCCCAACGTGCACTGATACTGCTCATATGACCCAATTATTTCAATGTCTTTTTTGTTTTGATTTTATTAAAATCCATAATTATTTTTTTATAATAATATCATGGTTATTTCAAGAATGATTTACGAATACAATATTTTCAAGTATATTACTTCTATGACTCACAAATTACACTTTTCAGTAATCTTTCATTATAGTGAAACTTCTTACATGAAATTACAGCAACGCAACTTTAATACAAAGTGTAATTCAAATTCACAGTGAGTAAGAACGTTGATTCATCATGATGTAGGACCCTTCATACTTATAGTCATTTGAATAATGTTCTCATTACCATATCCATACTTTGTAAAACTATAAACCTTTGGGATTTGTAGTTTTTTTTCAGGTAGGTAAATAGATCAACGAAAGACATTTTTGGTGTCAAAATCAACATTGAATGACACAACTCTTACCATTAATTGTAATTTAAAGATTGTACTGGCACTGTTGAAGCATTAATTAGAGTATTCTTGCCAAAAGTGCCTAACACCATTTTGAGAAATCGATGATACTCTTAATTTAGTGGACCGAAATTATCCAAATATAGTTATTAAGCAGTACGTAAAACAGGCTTAAAAATAAAATACTTACCGATTGATGCTTTTGTGAGCTGCAATGTTATAGACATACACACATACTCACACAAACACACACACACACACACACATACATATGTAGATATCGACGTCAACCTTATAAAACCTTCCTTTTTTCGTAGGGAGTTTAAAACTTAAGTTTATTTGTCTCTACTTAATATTATAAATGCGAAAGTAACTCTGTCTGTCTGTCTGTTACACTTTAACGCCTAAACAACTGAACTGATTTTAATTAAATTTGTTACAGACATAGAAGTGACCTTGAGAAAGAACATAGCATAGTTTTTATTCCAGATTTTTGAAAATTTCTCTTGGAAACGCGATATAACCGAACTCGACGCGGGCGAAGTAACGGGCGGAAAGCTAGTGATTAAATAAAACCAAATTCACTTTACACATCTTTCCTCCACAAATCTTATTTTTATTCTTAGTCCTAGTTTAACTTAAAATAGGCCCACTTTCTTTAGTATTTAAATCCTATTGGTACTATCGATACTTCTTTTGGGAATAATATTTGACCAGCTTTCGACGTTGATAAGACAGTAGAAATTTTATTAAATGCTCTTTTATTTATTTACCTTTTTCTACCTGGCAATTTTCCAGCTTTAGCCAGGGTCTGCCTTACATATTGTGAATAGTTTTGGCTAATTGTTTTTACGACCGGCCGCCTGCCTAACATCAACCCTCTTTTGAATGCATTACTCAGTGATGTCTAAATACTCTTAGAAAGTACGTAGGTATGGTGATTCGGAAAAATCACATTGGTACTTGCCGGGGCCAGGATCGAACCCGGGCCTTCATGCATGAGAGGCGGGCCCTTTAAACACTAGGCCACCACTGATTTTATTTATATTAGATCATATTTCATAACATATAAAATTTAAGCTTTTAATTATCTTTCTTAAACTGAAATATAAATATAGGTCAATATTTCATAGCTAAAGTAAAATAATTTTAACAATCCGTATTCTAATCAAGTTTGGTTTCTTTATGTGCTATTTCTGGTCCACATAAGTTTTACGATTTCGTAGCGTTATGAATTACGGTCGTTTGTTACAAGGGCTCAATTAGAAACAAATCTTTAGTAAGTATTGATGGCGTGAGGTAAGTGTGTCAGACTAACGTCAGTAAGGTTCTACATAAAATGAAGGTATGCAGTTAGTAAAGGGTGAATATTTTATAACAGCTCGTTTAGGTTCCGATAAATGCAAATCCACCTTTATGTTTTGGCGGTATTAAAAATATTTATGTTAATTTTATTTTATCTTTAGTAATAACGGATCTTTCGTAACTGTTCGTATTTTTCAATGCATTTATGAAATTATATGATGTTTAAAATTATTATATAAGTATTGCTACTTGGTATTTTTTGGAACAATTTTTACCATAACAAACTAAGAATTACATTAAAGTATTAGTAATTTGATAATCGTGTTTCATTACACTTGTACTACATTTCTTTAATCTAGTAGATTTCATACTTAGATAGAAATAAAGTAGATTTGCATACCTTAAAAGATAAAAATTTGTTGACATATTTATACTTTTGGTTTGCACTATTGGCTATATTAATACTTATAAAATAATATATGCCTTAGTTATGACGTGAACTGGAAACAAAACAATGATCAAAACCAGATTCTTATTCTAAAAATGTAAAGAGGTAATTACTGAATATAGGATATTGCTATTATATATTGAATAAATATTTATCTGTAAAATATATGTTTTGTTAGAATTTAAAAGTAACACAATAAACTAAGCATATAATCAAATTGATTCTTTATGTTTTTTATTTTTATTTTATATGTGACTATTTATGTAGCATATAGCTAGTTTTTGTTCTAGGAAACTTTT